CATTAAAAAGTCACCACCAAAAAGTTAAAGGACGATATTCTCCAGCTATCTCCACTGGTTGGTGGTTTTTAACATGTTTTATTTTTCCATTCAGTTGAGAATATTCATCCCAACTGACTCATATTCTTCCCTATATTGGGAATGAGCATCCCAACTGACTCATATTTTTCAGAGGGGTTGAAACCACCAACCAGTTAATGATGGTTAATAATGATTCATGGTGGTGAACAGTGGTTTATAATGGTTAATTAATACAATCGCCCTAATATCAAATACCCCCTGGATGGCTCAAAAATAAAGGTGTAATTCTCTACCAAACCATGGTTATGGGATGTTGAATATTGGGGGAAGGGAGTAGTTGGTGGTTTCAAAGTACCTCGTTATTGACATTTAAAAAAATGGTTCAAACCACCAACCAGCTCCAGGTCGCGCCAGTGGCTCCCTGGCCTACATTTTGACCCTGGGCATCGCTGAGAACTTCCGCCGCCGCGGCCTGGCCAAGGAACTCATCCAACGCTCCGTGGCGCACGTGGAGAAAAATCTGCCCATGGTGCAGGCGCGACCAAGACCTGGTGGTTGATCGTGGTTGATGTGGTGGAAGTCAGAAAAATCGTGGTTTTCACCCAGAGCAATGATGAAAAATGGGCATGTTGCCATCAATTTGGATCGATATATGATGATTAAAATAGGGATTTTGCCATCAAAAAATCATATATATCACATATTTTATGATTAAAATAGGGATTTTGCCATCATTAATGGATTTTTAATCATATATATATATCAAACAATCTTTGTAAATGATGATTAAAACGAATGGATTGTGTGTTGCCAACAAAAAATTGAGAAGCTGACATGACCTGACATGATGTTTTTACCAGCTCAAAGCCATGATGTTTTCTGGGTATCTAGCCATGGTGGTTGGTCATGGCAAGGTTATTGCTTGCTTCAACGGATTTCATCCATTTTTTGGAGCATTCTTCAGAAAATCCAAGCACCTTAGTTGGTTGGGAAAAATTATTGAAGGCTGAGTGAAACCAGCAACTTTATCAAAGAATCACGTGCAAAAGCTGGACAAAAATGAATGAAAATGATTCGAGATGAATAAGATGATAGATAATCGTGGCTGGAAGGCCTAGGAATTTGGTTCTTTTGATGGAAAGAGTCAGTCCCTACGACTAGGTGAACCGACCGAAACCTGGTCTCCGACAGGCAGTATTCCTGCATGTCGTGACCTACAACACTGCAGCGATTCAACTCTATGAGTCTTCGCAATTTTTGCGGATTGAGTATTTCCCGCACTTCTACTTCCTGCATGGCAACTGGGCTCTTCTTGTTGTGGTCACTGAACACTCATGACTGGAAACCCAGAAACGGGCCCTGGAAGAGTGTTTGGACTTGGTGGAGGCAAAGCATTCTGCATATATACCTTATACCGGTGACTCAATTGTGAGTATAGCGCAATAGATCAGGGCGCAAAACCAGAAGACAACTGAAATGTGATACTCAGTTATAAGTTGGGCTGTACCCACCTTCAAGTATACATCTATGATATGCAGTGTCTACCACAAACCTTCGTTAGCCCACTTGAAGTGGAACAACTTTGCTATGTATGGGGCACCACATTGTAGGCACACTTTGAATGTCGCCGTGGATATGTCTGGTTTCGTTGGATGCCATTCTGCCTGCATCCTAATGTTGGGATGATCATTGGGTCCAAAATGGATTACGCATCTTTTTGGGGATCCATGAGACAAAAACACACGGCACTAGAGTTAAAGTGAAAGTGCTGCAAGACACATGTTTTACCCCTTCAGTTGACAAATCAAAGGCCAAAGAAAAAGTACAGGTGGCTTTTAACATCTTTTAACAATCGCCAGTTGTAATTTGGGAAGCATTACTTAGTTTATGACAGAGCGATGGCTGAAGGATCGCCCCAACACATCCAACACAGCACTTTTTACCGATTGAAGCCACCAACAAGACAGCAGCACCAGCGGCAAGCAATACAATACCACAATGACAACCACAATATAGAATCTCACATTACTATCACTTAAATAAGTTGCTGCTTGCCTAATCTTACCCAGTTATTTGCCCATTACAACTATTAAGATGTTTTTGGCATATTCATAGGAGGTGGCCAACTGTTTGTTACTGGTTGCTATCTCCCCCAGTGCTGACCATGTGCCCTCCCAGAACTAAGATCCCTCAATCACAAAAAAAATCAAAATGAAGTGATTTGCCCGTGTTTTTCCCCAAGATGTGGGTGGTCAATATTTTTTCAGCCCCACAGATGTTCGATATATATATATATATAAATATATACATATATATAATCTATATATGTAAATGATATATATATATGTACATAGATTATATAATATATATATACATGGATTATATATATATATATATCTACATTATATATATACATATAACTCTACATTATATATATATATATTATATATATGTGATTCTTAGCCATCTGGGGTATTCCCAATGACTTGAGGTAAACACTACGATTCCTACCTCTACGCCCAGTATTTGCACGGCGCTCGTCCCCCCTGGAAGTGGCGCATGCGAAGCTTCGCCAGCGCCTGGAGTCGCTGGGTCTTCAGCTATTGGACGGCCTGGCGATGGCCCAGTTGTGAGGGCTAAGTGGAAGGATCATCGAGCAGCTAAGCTGGGACTTGAAAAATGTGGTTAATAGTGGTTAATAGTGGTTAATAGTGGTTAATAGTGGTTAATAGTGGTTAATAGTGGTTAATAGTGGTTAATAGGCTATAAACCAACAACAATGGGAATATGATGATGATCTGGTTGGTGGTTTGGAACATGAATTTCATTTTTCCATCTATTGGGAATAATAATCCCAACTGACGGACTCATATTTTTCAGAGGGGTTGAAACCACCAACCAGACTGTGTATTATGGGGCATACATTTTGGAATACATACATATAGGATGTATACGCATATGGCTATTATATAAGTATAATGTGGGTAAAGCAATGTCATAAACCACCCATGACTGGGAATGGTTTATTATACCATCTAATATAGTGATTTAGGGTATGGTTTATTGTTGTTTTACCATGCTTTACCCACATTAGATGTTTTGACCATGGCATGGGAAATGAATGCCAGATGTAACCAACATTTTTTCATGAATGGATAAGATGATAGGAATCCTACCAAAAAAAATGATTTAACATGATTTAAGCTACAGAACTGCTGATAGGATGTGATAGAACGGTGATAACATTTTGAGCAGTGACCAAAATTTGGGGTTGAACCATATGTGGAAATAGGGGATTGATTAACAGACGGATATGGGGATAGAATGGGAAATTCATCCAAGTGGATGAGTCGGATCCAAAACGCTGATGTTTCTGAAAAAATCTGGGGCGTTTGCTTGGTTAGATACTTTACTACTTCCATCTTTTGCTATCAATGGTAAAATTGGTAAAAATCTACTAACCAGCTAAAAATTAGAGATTCTTTTGCCAAATATCTAAGGTTCACCATGTAGTGAGACAAGATCATCAATAGGCACTCAATCGATAGAAATGAAACGACATTGGAATTTAATGACAACAACATGTATAATACAAATCATAGGGATATAACGTGACGCGACTATGCTAAGACCCATGAATGGAAGGTTGATAGATTTGTTGCGAGAGCGAGATATTTCCAATTGATTCCCACGATTTTGGATACAAAGGGGCTGGTATGTGAACATTGCGAGTTTTCGGTGGTTGAAGGACCACACTTTATTATTGATAAGCCCTTTGCCATCCAGAAAATCAAAATATATAGATACAGAACACCCACTGTAAAGTATTTTCCCTGGAATACGGTATATCTACGTTTCTGTTTGGTGGGCAACTGCGGTTGCATATCGATCTCAGCTGCGACTCTCAGATGATACCTAAAGAGTAGCTTTACCATAGCCACCAGGCAGAAGCCAACTCTGAGAGCTGTGGAAAAAGAATCAGGGATGGTGAGGGTGGATATGAAATGGCATGGATGGAGGCTTGACTTCTGTGTACTCTCTGGTAATTTAACAGTTTGCTATTGAAAATGGCACTTTTAGTTCGTTGATTTTCCTATATAAAGATGGTGATTTTCCAGTTCGCAAACTGTTAGTTTAACAGAGGGCAGATCTTGATTGGCAAGGTTTGCTCGCCAAAGAAATATGCTCGACGTTTGAGTAACTCCAAGATGTCAGACGTTTGAATCTTGGAATCCAGTGCCCGTGAAAAATCATAAACACATCATACCCTCTGGTAAATTAACAGTTGGACCCTGAAAATAGCTTAGTTTTAATGGTTTGAAGACTAGTTTCCATTCAAACTAAGCTATTTTCAGGGTCCAACTGTTAATTTACCAGAGGGTATGATGTGTTTATGATAATTTTCATCATGAAGTTTCTTGCCAGCTTGCAAGTTCTCAGTGCTCATTTCTGGATATTCATGTGGTCTCAGTCATGCTAAGTGCCACACCTGCCCGGCCCATACATATTTCAGGCTCAAAGGGTTCCAAAAGTGTTCCCTTTTTTACTTGCTCTGATATCTGTCCTTCAACAGTTTTAACAGTTTTAACTTATGTTTAGTCCACGTATTTCTCTCTACCCTATAACGGCCACAAGGTCAAATGTTTGGAGTTCACATACCCTCTTGATAGTCCAGTACAACCCTGAAATTCAGGAAAAATGATGCATAGGCTCAGGAAAGAAAATCTAACTGGTGCTTAGCAGGGAATTTTCGGGAATGATCCACTGGCTAACTATCAATAATCATCCCAGCAACCCCCAGCAACCCATCCATTCCCTACTAATTAAGCACCAGTAAGAAAATGCATAGGCTCAGGAAAAAAAATGCTGATTTCCGGAAAAGTCATCATCCCACATCATCTCAGCGTGGACGCCATGGATGAGGACAACGAGTATGATGACGAGGCTGGGATCAAATGGGGTGTTTCGTGGTCCGGTCCGGGGGTGGCTAACAGGAGATGCTAGGAGAGAAGCCATTGAGATGTGTGGAGGGAAACCATTTTACTGGTTGGTGGTGACTGGAACCATGGAATTTTATGACTTTCCATTCAGTTGGGAATTTCATCATCCCAACGGACGAACTCCATCATTTTACAGGGGGATTGAGACCACCAACCATTTTACTATGTTAGAATCAGTTTCAGTTCGCCAAGCTGAAGCCGTAACCTGGGTGCTGCATGGTCACCCATGGTTAACTTGGGGGCAAGCACACAAAAACTGTTCGTGGTCGATGACTGTTGACACCCCAAACCAAACGGTTTTGAATGGTTCATCATATGTGCAATCCATGTGTGTGTCAAACACACTAAACATATCTAAATAACATTTATGTTGTTTCTTGTCTTGCCCCAAAAAGACATGTTTGGATCCAAGTGTGTTGCAAGGAACAGATTTCTCCGACCATCTCCAAACGGAGCCCAGTCGGTGGAGCCGTGTTTTTCGTTAGGATTTCGACAACGACGATTTCGAAAACGAAACCGTAGAGGTGCCTGGTTGTGACCCTGGTGAAGGTGGCTGAAAGCCTGGTGGCCAACAAATCCAAGAATCTACTCCCGCGATATCCAGCGATAGGTTTGGTTTTCAATTGACTGATGAACCGGCCCATATAAATCATATTAGATCATATAGTCTTAGTGTTCAACCGTTCAGGCCTATCGTGGATGATGACCCCGAATGTACTATGGATTTTCAGGTGGAAACCCCCAAATCAATGATGGTCTCGATGGCTGAATCTGCAACAAGCCTGACCTGGAAGAGGCATTGGTGAAGACGAGCGCTTGTACCCTCTGGTTATTTGTTACATAGCCATGGTACAGATGGCCCAGAAATAGATGGTTCACCTGGGTTGACCTATTAAAAATGGGTGGATTTTCCATGGCAAACTGTTAGTCATAACCAGAGGGCACCTGTGTGGCACTCACCTGCCCTTGTAGACCTGCCTGATTTTAGACACCACTCAGACTGGTGGTGACTGGAACATGGCTTGGTTAATAGTGATTAATACTGGTTTAATAGTGGTTAATAGGCTATAAACCAACAACAATGGGAATATGATGATGATCTGGTTGGTGGTGACTGGAACCATGGAATTTTATGACTGCCCATGGAATTTTATTGGGAATGTCATCCTCCCAACTGACTTTCACTCCATCATTTTTCAGAGGGGTAGGGCGAAAAAGCACCAACCAGCAGAGAGTCGCTGGAGCCATCCTCCGGATCTCAATGATAGGAGCATAACATTGCTACAGCGGGTCATCGGACACACCAGGATGCACCCAAAATTCTAGAGGTCAAAACATTGCAAATCACCCCCCAAACCACCTGAAAAAACATTGCAGAACGCGGAAGTGCGTGCTTGCCGTGGACTTGATCTTGTTGGTAGCATGTTATAGTTATGGCCCATTATGGCTTACATATATTACATATATTTATATTTATATATCTATCATCTCAAAAATCCCATCATATCATCCGTGAAGTGTTGCTGCCTTTGTGGGCACATCGATCAGATCCATGGTTGAAATCACTGGGTTTTGTCTGAAATTAGCAGCTACCTCTGTTATTCACCGTTTATCATCATGTGACATGTGTTTGATTAATTTTGATTATGGCGATAGATTGGGGTAAACCGGTAAACCTCACCATTTTTCAGACACACCCAACATCACCCAACATCACCCAACTATCATATCAAGTTAGCTGTTTGTAAAATAATGTCATATCCCATTGTATCTTCAATATATCATGATATCCACATCGTACAAGGTTAGAGTGTTGTTCTATGGGGATATCGGGGGGTTCCCAAAATGGGGTATCCCCAAAACCATAGGTCAATGCTATATAAATTATATAAGTCATGGTCGAATGACCTGGGTGATTCTTTGGAAACATAGGGATGTTTAGGGTATATCATCAACCATAATGTGCATATTAATGGGAGTATAATGGTGTTTTGTGGGATTTAAGTGGCCCTTGACCGACGCAGGACGAGAGCGAAGAGGAGCTGCCGAAGCGCCGGGACGATGCTGATGCTGTGGCACCTGGCCTGCGGTGGAGAAACCATCAGCGATGGTTTCATGGGATATCTGATTGGTGGTTTCATGTATCAATATCTTCAATATCATTATTAATTAATGGTGGTATAATAGGGATAGTTATAGGAATACTGGTTGGTGGTTTGGAACATGTTTATTCTTCCATATATTGGGAAGAATCATCCCAACTGGCCCTTTTTTATTCCAGAGGGGTAGGTATACCACCAACCAGATATTGTTGGGGATGTTCTTGGGGAAATAGCGGGATATGGTGGGATATAGTGGGATATGCATGGGGATACAGTGGGATATAATGGATTACTGGGATATTGTGGGATATAGCGGGATATGATGCTGGCTGATATAATTAATTATATATTTAGCCTGCCCTTAAAGGAGCGGTCGTCAATCCATTGTCATAGGGGTCCATGTGCTCAGTATGTGTGGATTCTCATGCGATTGATGACAAGCCATACCCTATGCTTTGACAACGGCACATATGTGGTTATCCAGGGATTGTTCATCGCTCATCTATGACGTTTTGTTCAATGGTCTAACGAATTCCACTGTTAATCTAGGATGGGTCAGAATCTATTATTACATTATATTATTATTACCATATGTGGTGGAATAACCATCCATTAACCAGCTATTTTAGCCCAGCTAGGGTTTTGACCCAGAACCACTTGTATGCTTACTGTATTCTATGTTTGCATATCACATACATCTATCTATCTATCTATCTATCTGTCTATCTATCTATCTATCTATCTATCTATCTTGTCTATGTCTATGTCTATGTCTATATCTATATCTTATCTATCTCTTATCTATCTCTTATCTATCTTATCTATCTTATCTATATCTATCTTATCTATATCTATCTTATCTATATCTATCTTATCTATATCTCTCTTATCTATATCTCTCTTATCTATATCTATCTTATCTATATCTATCTTATCTATATCTATCTTATCTATATCATATATCTCATATATCTCATCTATCTTATCTACCTTATCTATCTTATCTATCTTATCTATCTTATCTATCTTACCTATCTTATCTATCTTATCTATCTTATCTATCTAATCTATCTAATCTATCTAATCTATCTAATCTATCTAATCTATCTAATCGATCTAATCGATCTAATCGATCTAATCGATCTAATCGATCTAATCGATCTAATCGATCTAATCTATCTAATCATTCTTATCTATCTAATCTATCTTATCTATCTTATCTGCCTTATCTATCTAATCTATCTAATCTATCTAATCTATCTAATCTATCTAATCTATCTAATCGATCTAATCGATCTAATCTATCTAATCGATCTAATCGATCTAATCTATCTAATCTATCTAATCGATCTAATCTATCTAATCTATCTAATCTATCTAATCTATCTAATCTATCTAATCTACCTAATCTATCTAATCACTATCTAATCTATCTAATCTATCTAATCTATCTAATTAATCGATCTAATTAATCTATCTAATGAATCTATCTAATTAATTTATCTATCTAATCTATCTATCTATCTATCTATCTACCTATCTATCTATCTATCTATCTCTCTATCTATCTATCTATCTACCTATCTAATTAATCTTATTAATCTATCTAATTAATCTATGCCATTAATCTATCTAATTAATCTATCTAATTAATCTATCTAATTAATCTATCTAATTTATCTATCTAATTAATCTATCTAATTCATCTATCTAATTAATCTATCTAATCTATCTATCTATCTATCTAATCTAATCTATCTATCTATCTATCTACCTATCTTTCTATCTACAGTATCTATCACAGTATCTATCTATCTATCTATCTGTCTGTCTGTCTATCTATCTATCTATCTATCTATTCTATTCTATTCTATTCTATTCTATTCTATTCTATCTATTCTATCTAATCACGAAAGGTACCCTAGGCTACCTGAGTTCTATGTACTTTAGTACTAGTTTAGTACTGGGGGAGGTGGCTGCTCCTTTCCCGGAAATTGAGACCCGAGAGTCACGAACGGAGACTTAGGGGGGGAGGGGCCCCCCTCCCCCCCCCCCATTCGATTCCCCCCTGGTCCGCATCTCTTTCTTTCTTTTTCTCTGACTATGTACTTACCTCCTTATCCATCTATCTATCCATGTATCTATCTATTTAGTTGTCTATCTATGTATCTATTTATCTATCTATCCTTCTATGTATCTATCTATCTACCTATCGATCTATCTATCTATCTATCTATCTATCTATCTATCTATCTTTTTATCGATCTATGTAGCTATCGATCTATCTATTTATCGATCGATGCTTCTATCTGTCTATCTATCTATCCATCTATTTGTTTATTTATCTATCTATCTATCTATATCCTTCTATCTCTCTATCTATCTATCTATCTATCTATCCATCTATCTATATATATATATATCTATATATCTATTTATCTATCTATCTATCTCTCTATCTATATATCTATCATACATACATACATACATACATGCATACATACACACAGACATACGCACATACATACATACATACATACATACATACATACATAAATACATACATACATACATACATACATGCATACATACATACATACATACATACATGCATACATACATACATACACACATACATACATACATACATACATACATACATACATACATACATACATACATACATACATACATACATACATACATACAGACATACATGACATACATGTACATACATACATACATACAGACATACGCACATACATACAACATACAGACCAGAATACATGATGTAACATAACATAACATTACACGACTTAATGTGACATAACATTACATCACATTACATAACATTACATTCATACATACATACATACATACATACAGACAGACAGACAGACAGACAGACATATTTACAAACATACATGGATACAAAGGAGTTATCTGGTTAGTGGCCATAGTCAACTGGCCCCATGGTCTGCAACATACACCTAGAATCCTTTCTCGGGCATTGTAGAAGGGAAAAAAAAATACGACCGAGTTTTTCTACTCCGCTCACAAACTCGGTCGTAATTCTGTGGGGCATTTGTTGGCTCTGAATTCGTCACAGCCAAGCAAGAAAGCAACACTGGACACGTCATACCACTTATAATGTTTCATAGCTCTGGTTTACTAAGTCATCCAAATGGACTGTCGTCTATGTACTTGGCTTACACCCCCAGTTACCAATAAATATAACCCCTCTATCTATCTATCTATCTATCAATCTATCTATCTATCTATCTATCATATCTATCTATCGATCTATCTATCGATCTATCGATCTATCGATCTATCGATCTATCGATCTATCTATCTATATATATATATATCTATTTATCTATCTATCTATCTCTCTATCTATATATTGATCGATCGATCGATATCGATCGATCTATCTATCTATCTATCTATCTACCTACCTACCTACCTACCTACCTATCTATCCTTCTATCTATCTATCTATCGATCTATCGATCTATCTATCTATACATATATATCTATTTATCTACCTATCTATCTATCTCTCTATCTATATATTTATCTATCTATCTATCTATCTATCTATCTTTCTATCGATCTATCTATCTATCTATCCATCGATCTATCTATCTGTCAAGCCATCTATCTATCTCTCTATCTATCTATCTATCTCTCTCTCTCTCTTTCATCTGTCTATCTGTCTACCTGTCTATCTGTCTATCTGTCTTTCTACCTACCTATCTATCTACCTATCTATCTATCTATCAATCTATCTAGCCATCTATCTATCTATCTATCTGTCTGTCTATCTATCTGCCTATCTATCTATCTATCTATCTTTCTATCTATCTATCTCTCTATCTCTCCACCCATCTATCGCTCAAAACTCTCTCTATCTATCTATTTATCTATCTTTTTATCTATCTATCTATCTGTCTGTCTATCTATCTATCTATCTATCTATTTATCTATCTATCTATCTCTCTCTCTCTCTTTCATCTATCTATCTGTCTACCTGGCTATCTGTCTGTCTACCTATCTATCTATCTATCTGTCTGTCTGTCTATCTGTCTATCTGTCTATCTGTCTATCTGTCTATCTGTCTATCTGTCTATTTGTCTATCTGTCTATCTGTCTACCTGTCTACCTGTCTATTTGTGGTGCAGTGTCATTCAGTGCAATGTAGAGTAGTGAAATGTAGTGTGGTGTAGTGGAGTGTATCATGTCATCATGTCGCCGTCGGATATGTTTGGATCAAAGCATTTCGCCACTGGGTGTGCCACGATGAACATAAACGTTAACATCACGCTGACCCCTATTCATATCATTCGCATGGCACCTATCTCACTAGAATTTACCAAAGAACATAAAACATCATTTTTTCGGGGTTGCGCTTCATCTCGCCTCGATGAAGCACAACCAAGTGCTTGGGAGCACAACCAAAGTCATTTATCGCACAAAAATGAGCTTGGTTGCGCCCCCAAACGCTGGGTTGCGCTTCATCTCCCCTCGATGAAGCACAACCTTGGAAAATGATTTTTTTTTTTCTTCTTTGGTAAATTTATGTCTTCCAGACCATAGATTATTTTGCCTGTCGAAAAACTTGAAAGAAAGCGTGAAAAAACAAAAAATGTAACTCTTGTTTCATTTTTCCCTTTGAGCCTCTCCGTGTTTTTCCTTTCTTTTTTCTCCTTTTATTCTGCTTTTGTGTTTTTTAGATTTTGCTGCTTTGCTTTTTCGCTTTTCCGACGTTGATACTTTTTTCGCTTTTTTCGCGTTTTTCGCGAAGCTAAAATATGCTACGGTCTGGATGACATAAATTTACCAAAGAAGATAAAAAAATATCATTTTCCAAGGTTGTGCTTCATCGAGGCGAGATGAAGCGCAACCCAGCGTTTGGGGACGCAACCAAGCTCATGTTCGTGCGATAAATGACTTTGGTTGTGCTCCCAAGCACTTGGTTGTGCTTCATCGAGGCGAGATGAAGCGCAACCCCGAAAAAATGATGTTTTCTGTTCTTTGGTAAATTCTAGTGAGATAGGTGCCATACGAATGATAGTAGTAGTAGTCGTAGTCGTAGTCGTAGTCGTCGTAGTAGTAGTAGTAGTAGTCGTAGTAGTAGTAGTAGTAGTAGTAGTAGTAGTAAAAGTAGTAGTAGTAGTAGTAGTAGTACTACGGCCAGGACGGATGTGCTGCCCGGGAAAGTGCGTTTTGACTGCGCAGGGCCAATGTTTTGTGAGATTCCCCGTGTCGTTCGTTTGGGCAAACGGATGACGAATTTTTCCCTCATTTCATCAACATCATCATCATCATCATCAGCATCATCAGCAACAACATCAACATCATCAACATCATCAACATCCCAATTGACTGTAAAGTTTAACGGGGGAGGGAGTTTACTATTCCCTAATACCCTTGTTGATCTTCCCAATTGAATGCAAAGTTTAACGGGGATGGGAGTTTAATATTCCCTAATACCCTTGTTGATCTTCGCAATTGAATGTAAAGTTTAACGGGGGTGGGAGTTTAATATACCCTAATACATTTGTTGATCTTCCCAATTGAATGCAAAGTTTAACGGGGGTGGGAGTTTAATATTCCAATGTAAAGTTTAACCGGGGTGGGAGTTTAATATTCCCTAATACCCTTGTTAGTGGGAGAACCTCCACAGAGTCAACCCCTAACTTGGTTGACCCTCTGGAGGCCCCTCCACCGGGTCCACGTATTCGGAGTTCGGAACGTACTTGTACAGAACAAAAAAGGATACTTTATGTATACTTAGTAGAAATCACAAGGTCAACAGCTAACCAAAAACATTAGTTTCTGTGGACCCGGTTGGACTTTATGTAAACTTGCTAGAAATCACAAAGTCAACAACTAACCAAAACCAATAGTTTCTGTGGACCCGGTGGGAGAGCCTCCACAGAGTCAACCCCTCACTTGGTTGACCCTCTGGAGGCCCCTCCACCGGGCCCACCTATTCGGAGTTCGGAACGTAATTCTACAGAACAAAAAACGATATTTTATGTATACTTAGTAGAAATCACAAGGTCAACAGCTAACCAAAAACATTAGTTTCTGTGGACCCGGTTGGACTTTATGTAAACTTGCTAGAAATCACAAAGTCAACAACTAACCAAAAACAATAGTTTCTGTGGACCCGGTGGGAGAGCCTCCACAGAGTCAACCCCTCACTTGGTTGACCCTTTGGAGGCCCCTCCACCGGGCCCACGTATTCGGAGTTCGGAACGTCATTGTACAGAACAAAAAACCATACTTTATGTAGACGTGGCGGAAGCGCCTCCACAGCGTCAACAACTAGCTCAGTCGACTCCCTGGAGGCCCGTCCAACGAGTCCGCGTGCTGACAACACGGTATACCTACAAGAATAACGATTCACCAACAACAAGCACACAAACATTCCAGCTGCTTGGGTGAGCTTTTCAAACCCCAAAAGTTTCTTCCCAACCGATTCTTGTCCAAAATGCCTACCTTATACATCTAACGTTAGAAATCGGCAAACTCTTCAACGCAATTTCCACGAAGTCATGAATCCGCTTGTTGATCTTCCCAATTGAGTGTAAAGTTTAAACGGGGTGGGAGTTTAATATTCCCTAATACCCTTGTTGATCTTCCCAATTGAATGCAAAGTTTAACGGGGGTGGGAGTTTAATATTCCCTAATACCCTTGTTGATCTTCCCAATTCAATGTAAAGTTTAACGGGGGTGGGAGTTTAATATACCCTAATACCCTTGTTGATCTTCCCAATTGAATGTAAAGTTTAACGGGCCTGGGCGTAGTAGTAGTAGTAGTAGTAGTAGTAATAGTAGTAGTAGTAGTAGTAGTAGTCGTCGTAGTCGTAGTGGTAGTGGTAGTGGTAGTGGTAGTGTTAGTGGTAGTGGTAGTGGTAGTGGTAGTGGTAGTGGTAGTAGTAGTAGTAGTAGTCGTAGTAGTAGTAGTAGTAGCAGTCGTAGTAGTAGAAGTAGTAGTAATAGTAATAGTATAATAGTAGTAGCAGTAGTAGTAGTAGTAGCAGTAGTAGTAGTAGTCGTCGTCGTAGTAGTAGTAGCCGTAGTAGTAGTAGTAGTCGTCGTCGTCGTCGTCATAGCAGTAGTAGTCGTAGTAGTAGAAGTAGTCGTCGTAGTAGTAGTAGTAGTCGTCGTAGTAGTAGTAGTAGTCCTCATAGTAGTAGTAGTAGTCCTCATAGTAGTAGTAGTAGTCCTCATAGTAGTAGTAGTAGTCCTCATAATAGTAGTAGTAGTAGTAGGTAGTAAGTAGTAAGTAGTAGGTAGTAAGTAGTAAGTAGTAAGTAGTAAGTAGTAAGTAGTAGTAGTAGTAAGTAGTAGTAGTAGTAAGTAGTAGTAGTAGTAAGTAGTAGTAGTAAGTAGTAGTAGTAGTAGTAGTAGTAGTAGTAGTAGTAGTAGTAGTAGTAGTCGTAGTAGTAGAAGTAGTCGTCGTCGTAGTCGTAGTAGTAGTAGTCGTCGTAGTAGTAGTAGTAGTCCTCATAGTAGTAGTAGTAGTCCTCATAGTAGTAGTAGTAGTAGTCCTAATAATAGTAGTAGTAGTAAGTAGTAAGTAGTAAGTAGTAAGTAGTAAGTAGTAAGTAGTAAGTAGTAGTAGTAGTAAGTAGTAGTAGT